AAGATAGCCATGACGACTGAATACTTCAGACACAGTGAGCTCTCATCCACCCTGCTGTGTCAATGATGTCCACAGTCAGCTCAAATATCTAAGTATAAGATGGAAATCATCCTGTTGGTAGAAATCGTCCTGTCGACATATTAGCCATTTAAATATTATTATTGTTTAGAATCTGCTGTTTAAGATTTATGTATCAGTTCACCGGTTTAAATTTGTGGGAATTTGATTGGACAACAGAGGCAAAACAGGAAGCAGGAAGTCGGAAGTTTTAGTTAGTTGGTATGTGTTTGAAAAACCCATGGGGAAGCTTAAATGGTTCAACATTGAATCTGCCTCCATATACCGCTGATTCGTAAAAAGCTCCGCCTGCCTTTTTAGGTAAACCCACAAATTTAGATAAGCTAGGCTCCGAGGTCTGTGGCCAGTGTCCATCCCAGTATCAGCCCCATTCAGACATCAGCTTCAGTGTTATGTCCTTCCCATGAGAGATGAGGTTTCGCTCTCGGTAAAAAAAAAAAACCCACCCCAAACTAAAACGGCACTAATTGCTTTCCTGCTCGGAAGTCGGGAGTTAAAAGGAGAGGTGCGTGTAAGTCAGGGTGCCGCGCAGTAGGGAAGAGCGCTCAGGGGATTGGACTGCTAATTTCTGCCTCTTTACTAGATTGAAATCAGGCACCCAGTTTGTGGTTGTATCAAACAGCTGCAGGGAGGAAGTGTGTGTGTGTGTGTGTGTGTGTGTGTGTGTGTGTGTGTGTGTGTGTGTGTGTGTCGGATTGCAAATCCGAAGGTGCAGGTTTACGTCTGCCGGGGCTTCCTCCCCCCGCCCGTGTTGTGTGGGGGGGGGGGGGGGGTACAGCAATTTTACACAAAACTGTAAAGCAAATGAGCATTTCCAGGTCCTCTTCTTAAAGGGCAGAAGTGAGATTGTGGTGATAGGGGCAGGCAGTCAGTGGGCAATCCTGGGAAAAAAAGACCAAAGAATTGGGAAGAGCAGCTGATAGAGGAGGGAGGGAAAAAATAAAAGGGAACCTGGCCTATTTTCTCCAAAACGGGCTCTCTTAATTAGCCCACTCTTTTCCTTTTTTATGTTAGCATGATATTTACCTATGAGCAAACCCAAGGGGTCCACCGTTTACACATTAGCCGTCCAGAGTAAACGCCTGCCCACATTTCTCATCCAGTGCACAAGCAAGCTATATGCCTGACTGTCAGTGAGCCATATCAAACAGCATTTACATAAAGAGAAAATTAATTTTGTTGCCAAGAGCAAAAGCTTAATAAATCTCTCTCCGTGTCCACAACCCTGCATTAATTATAAAGGCTTTTATAATTAAAAAAATGGCTATTTTTTCTATAAAATTATCTCTATGGCTCTAATTAGTATTCTTATTTTAATAACACCCTCCTATCTAGCAGCGAAATTATGATATTCAGCGAACTGCCACTCTTACTAGGATTCTGACGTCAGGCTCATGTAGAGTCGACACAGAGTTCGTGACCCGTGACGAAACCATGCGGTGTGAAGCCCCGCCCCCCGCCCCCAGAGACAGAGGGGTGCTACGGACTTTGCTGAACCCTGGGCAAACCCATTTGGGTCATGCTGAACGCGACACGAGTTAAAAGCAGCCCATTACGCTCAGGACTGGCAATAACAGACCACACCCTCTGCGACAGCGCCTCCTGCTGGCCGAGAGGGAGGACGACGGTTCCTTTCAGTACACGGCATGTTTACATGCTGAACAAGTTTACAATGACATCATCTTGCAGGACCACAGCAAAGACACACTCGGGCTGAGCCGTCAGTATTAGCTAGCTGTCCCACACAGGAATTTTTAAGCCCCCCGACAGACTGATAATTACCAAAGGCTCTCAACACCAGTTTTCAACATCCAGGGTAAAAGCATAGAGTTTGCTCTCTTTATGGCCATAACACAGCTATACGAGCCTTCTGCAGCAGCTTAAAGCAGAGCAGCTAAAGGAGTCCGTCCAGAATACTTTCATTCTGCTGACAGGAAGCTGGTGACGACCTTCCACTTGGGTTTTTATCATTAATACTAACAGTGCCACACTGCAGATGGGAAAAGGGTGGTTTCCTTTCAGATGAGCCTGTGGGATACATGTGCTGCACAGCCTGCCGACGCCTCTGAGCATCTTAAGAAGAATCAGTCATCTCTGGCTTGAAGGGGTAGCATCACACTCCTTGCATCTACAGACCGTACCTTAGCAGAGTTCGATTTGCTCTGTAAATTCCTGTGATAAACCTCCCTCCTCCCGAGCTTTCGATAAGCCTGCTCACCACATCCTCCTGCCAGACTGTCCTGAACGAGATGAGCGTGAGATTATCTCCACGGCTACTCCAGTTGAGTGATGTGGACGAGCTGAATACCTAAACAGGAATTCTCAGCAGGCTTGGATATCTCAAATCCTCCTACGCTGGATTTCTATGACACACGAATCGTACCCTAACCACAATTATCTGTAAAACAATCAACAGTGACCTTGCTGGAACAGGAGACCGTGTGTCATTACAGGACATCTTAACGAGCATGTTATGGGTTGCGTGAATCCCCATGTTGCAGTGTTTCTCAACACAGTCCTTGGGGACATTCCACATTTTTGCTCCCTCCCAGCTCCATACTCTTTACTGGGAGGTGGGAGAAAAATCTGGACTGTCTGGTGATACCCGAAGACTGCTGAGAAACTCCGCCCTAGTCCAAGGTCACATCGTCTTCTGCTAACCAGCTGTGAATAATTGACATACCTTGCTGTGGACAATTAGAGCAGATTCGATTAATAAAAGGAGAAATGAAACTTTGACTCTGCTCATGCGCGGAATGTCATGTTCTCATGTTTACCTACTCCTTAAGCCAGCTTTGTGTTACTTGCTTTACTGGTTCCCATTGAGTGAAACCAGGCAGCGATCCACAGTGCGCTGTGGTCTTCCATTTCTTCCCCCAGTAAATTTAGCCGAGCCCCATTGTCCACAATAAACATACTGCTTCACTATCTCCTTTAAAAGAGTGCAGCTCACATAAATCTGGCGTATCCTTGTGTCTCTCTAACCAGCTGCTAAATCTGACATATCCTGTAGGTGGCGCCTGTTTGCTGAAAGGCAGACCTCCCTTTTCGTCCTGCAGCCCCGCCCTCTAGGGTGGTCCAGTTGAGCTACTTTGTGTCATCTTGCACTAAGGTTCACTGTTTCCAGGTCCAGGTGCCCGCTCAGCTGCAGATCCTCCTTTCCCATCCACCTCTGCTCGTCACAACATCTTGGGCATTTGGTACCCGCCCCCCAAATAAAATTTGTGCAATTACCGTGACTCTCCCGGAACAATTTATCACCCTTGCCTTTCGTGTGCCAGGTCTGCTCTCCTGACCAGGAACCTTCTCCCGATAAGTTTGACTTTGGAGGCCTCGCTGTGTACCTCAGTCCCTCAGGGCTGTCACAGCTGCCCTCAGTTTTGTCCCTCTGATCTTTCCAAAGGTCATTCCTCAACCAGAAGCCCGATCCACCCCAAACAGGCCATCATGAAAAGAAAAAGAAAATCTAGAATTTCCCCATGGGACCAATAGAGTCCAATAAAGTCTTAATCTAAAAAAGCAAGAGCTATTTAATAAGTTTCTCTCACAATGAACCAGCTTTAATCTATACCTAGACGATTTTTATCCATGCATTTACCTCAGTAGGACCTCTTCCAGAAATAGAACCAGCAACCTTCTGGTTCTGGGTCTGTCTCCTTAACAGCTGCACAGCCATCCTCACTGTAAGTGTTGCCTCCCACCCATCACTACAGAATCCTCACTTACAGCCAGACTCCTCTTCTGTACGGCACTGGGGTCAACCCAAATGGGGCCCAATGTGAGGAAAAGGAGGGAATTTGACAAGACCCGTCTAACCACCACACCTACTCAGCACTCCTGAAATCTGAGAAACATGTATCTGCATCAAACAAGTGTTTGAATCTCCCCCTTTGTTATAAAGGACAGAACGCCAGCTGCTGCCACCAGGCCACCCTCTAACCAATCGATGGCCGGTCCTTTCATCATTTCACACAGCACTACGAACTGGACTTTCTCCCACCTGCTGCTAGCCCCTCCCCCAGCCCACCAACCCCTGACATCTTTGCTCATCATCACACCTACTTCTACCACCTGCCTCCTCACCCAAGAAGAGACCCTGCAGGTACAGGCCCAACATCACATCGAAATGTGATGTACATTCAGCTCACTAACAGGATGATCTTGACCAGTGCCAAGCAGGCTTGAAAAGCCAGCCGATAGCATCTCTCTCCACAAACGACCTGCCCGTATGCTTTTAATAAGCCTGATCACCAGATCCTCCTGCCTTCCCTGAACGGAATGAGAACAAGATTACAACTGCTGCAGCTAGGCGACGTGGAAAGGCGGTCTTAATTCCGAAACAGAAACCCCCAGTGGACCCAGCGATCTAGTCTTGTCCCCCTGGACGGGATTACCAGGCTCTGTCGTTACCACATAATGCTTTTCACATTATGTGAAGGACACACGACCATCTCTCTCCCTCCCCCGTCCTTTTCTCACTTTGTGCCTTTCAGCAAGGCCTGGATTTTCGGCACTTTAAGACCTTAGCCTGGCATCCCCCATCTAAAGGCACAGGTTCCACAGGATCACTCTCAACAACACTGACAGCGACTTCAGTCTTTCCTCCAGAATTATACTCCTCCTTTGTGCAATACAAGGCTGATATTTCATACATACAAATCCAATAACAATGACCTTTATGCCAGTCCATTAAAGGACTCTCCAATACGCATTCTCTCTCTCGCTCCTTCTCTCTCTCTCTCTCTCCTTCTCTCTCTCTCTCACACACACACACGTATACACACACACAGGAAATTTAGAAGAGCGAAAACTAGAAGCAATTTTGGTGTAAAATTAATTAATCTCAATTACATTCTGGAAGTCTTTATAGAGTTCCTCATCAAGCTGTTAATCCCTGAAGATCAAATAAAGGCCAGGCTTACCTTGTTTTGATCTATCCAGTACAGAAAGTATCCTTGCGGGTCGACTCGCAAGGTCACGGGGGTTACCACGGTAGAATCCTGGAGAATTGGAAACAGGAATGAGTCAGCGCCGAATTCCTTTGGACCGAGCGAGACCATGAGACCTGTCTTGCAGAGAATCAGTGGAACCCCGTCCTAAACACCATTATTTGTCAAACCGTGCTTTTCTGTCTTAAGCATTTTGGAGCAAATGGACGGATAGATGAGTGGCTATTTCCACAGGTTCTTTCACATTGACACCAGGCAGAGTATTACTCTTCACAGAAACAATTTACAGACATGCCGTTTTACACTTAAGTTGTTCCACCCGAAATTATTTACCTACCCAGTCAAGATGGCTCTTTCCTCATAAATATGTCATCAGTGCAAACAGAAAAAAAATGCTCAATTTAATCCTGCCTTGTGCCCCATGCTGTCCAGGACAGACTCCAGGCCACCCTACGACCAGCTCAGGATGAGCAGTTGGAAGATGGTTGGATTGATAGTTTACTTTGTCCCCTGGATTTTATTAACTTCCTGTCTTTACTGAGGTTCAGTGGAAAATTCTTCTTCTTTTGTTATAGGACAAGCAGCATAGAAGATGAATGAATGAGCTAACTAGCAAACTAAAATATACCTGTTCTACTCATATCAGACACCAAATGGTTTCTGTATTAGATTGTTTTGTCCAAATGACAATAATAATGACAACTAGGAATAAGAGTCAAATCTGAGCTGAGCTGAGACAGGTCTTAAGGCAGGTTTGGTTGCCATGGTAACCAAGAAGCAATTTTATCATTATTCATTCCACACTTTAAACCTTCACCATTAAAAAGATAATTATTATAAAGTTAGAGGGGGGCGTGCCCCCCCCCCCCATGACAGCATTCCCAGACCCAGGCATAGATGGTATTTCCTTTGTCTTCATTTTCTCTCTTTTTCGAAAACTTTTTCGAATTACCCAAAGGGTAATCAGACTCTCAGACTTCTATCCTTCTAACCGCCTCCTTTTTCCAGGCATCACTCTAGGTTACTGCCTTGATGCCCGTAGTGCCAGTGTGGTCTGATCACATACTCCTCTGTTGTTAATTATCTTAAATATGAATCACAGACCTCTGTACAGGAATACAGAAAACTCCCTAGGACCCTATTATTCAAATCACGGTCTTCGAGGTCCGAGCACTGCTGGTTTCCCAGCCTTCCTTTACCTGTGAGCCAGGTGTGAAGCCTCTGACCAATCAGAATCAGTAATTATTAAACTAACTACCTGGAAGAACTGAAAGCAAGGCCTGGATTTGGAATCGAGGTCCAGATTTGATGAGCCCTGCCCTAGGATGTGCATAACAAAGCGAATACACAGGGACAGGTTTTCCAGGGCGTGTCTGTGTGTGGTCGGTCTACATGCTGATCCACAAATCATATTCTCCACTTCACAGTTTCCAAATTTAATAAAATGTATTATCGACATCTTTAGTGATAAGTTATCAAAAGTAGTAAAGTTTCATTTAGCGATTTTAAAAACATTTTGATATCGATACTTTTATTTATTCATTGGGTCAACGTGTTTGGTCTTTTGAATAGAGACTGAAAATGGACAGTAACCACAAAGTCTGGCAGCTTTTAATGTGACTTTAAAAAAACAGTTGTACCTATTTTCGGAGCTCTGCAAGAGCCAGTAGGAACAGACCACAGCGCTGGTGCTTTGACCAAATCCCGTATCCAGCTGGGAATCGACCTTTCCGAGCCCAGGCCTGGAATGCACCGAGGATTTTACTTACAACAAACCAGTTTTGTTATCTGGGCATCAGAGATCAAACAGATACTGACAAAATGTATATTACTTCAGCATTTAACACAGTTCAATTTACAAGCCATGCTCAGTATCACATTTCCTAACCTGACAGTTAATTTCGGGTTATAGCCTGTGTTACAATCACAGTGATATTGCTTTTCGTTAATGCATTACTGCCTTAATACATTATAATTGACTGGATTTGCTGATTGTACACACCTTTAGCTATTATTGGCAGTACTGACATCTTGCATAACTGCTTACCCAGTACTTTGTCAGGGTAAACCTGGAGCCCGTCCCAGGGCACGAGGAAGGGGACACCCTGGACAGGATGCCAGGCTCTCACAGGACACGCATAGAGAACAAACCGGAGTACCCAGATGAAACACAAGGAGAAAACGCTCCACACTGACCACCGACTCGAATCCGCACCCCCTAACAGTCTGCCCCCTTAGTTAAGTGAACTTTTAACGCCATGAAAGCAAACAGGTTACTTCCTTAAAATAGCTTCAGTGTGTTATTTAAACGTTCAACGTTACTACAGCATAATTATGAGACCAGGGACTTGTGCAGGTGACTTTTCTACTTTGACCATCATACGCACAGATTTGCAAAGCACTCTAAATGAAATAGCAATGTAAAACTCAGCTTGAGAAGCACGTCAGAATAATGTAATATGACATTACCAATGTTTTTTAATTTTAAAAGCAGCCGCCCCGCCCTCTAGGTAAATATGAAGGCACGGACTTTTCATGCAAAGTGACTTCCCCGATATCCCGGACTGATCCCTGGTGCTTTCGGGGTGACACAGGCATGACTCACAGGGCTGACTAAGAATGCCGGGGGGGGGGGGCTCGATCCGGACCTCCATCCAGCACACTTCGCGGTACGTTTAGCAGAATAGGTGTCTCTGAATGTGTGTCTTATGAAAGCCTGGCATCCCGTCCAGGGTGTCCCCTTCCTCGTGTCCTGGGATGGCACTTGGTAAGCGGTTATGCAGGATATCAGTATAGTCGATAATAGCTAAAGGCGTGTACAATCAGGAAATCAGAAATAAGTATTTAAGCAATTATGCTAAATGGTTAGCATCCAATTGATGTGTATGCATTAAATTAATGCAATATTACCGCGGTTGTAACACAGGCTGTAATCTGAAATGAACTCGGACGGAAGCTTTCAGCCCGGAGCGTCTTAACGCGGTAAATGCACCTTTAAACGGAACGAACGGAGCCCTATAGTCACAGCAGCCTAAAATATCCCGTCTAAATAAGCTGCTCTGTTTGATGATGCAGGGAAAATAAGTGTGGAACGTGCATAAATATAGGGTACCGCAGAAGTGAGGCTTAGTCCAGGTTTAACATTATTTTATAGTTGTTTAAAATAGCTTGTCCCAACACACCTGTACTCATAGAGACTATTTTATGGACGTTTTAGCTATAGGCCCATGTACACTTCGTTTGGTTTGCAAAGACGGGCCAATATGCCATTACGACAAAAACCGAAATGCTACTTTCTCACACAGGACATTCGTAACTATAAAATGCAAAATGCTCCACAACACCTGAGGTAAAGTTCACAAACGACGGACAGACCGACAGTAGCATCAAGTGTTTCTTTTCCTGCTTGGACGCGCACACAAACAAACCTAATAATAATACATTATATTTATGCATCGCTTTTCAAAACCCTTTGCCCTGGTGGGGTTTTTCCACCCTTGAAACCCATCCATGGCAGTTGCTAGCTTTGCAAATAGCATAGTGTAAAGCCAAATAAACCCTTTCGCTCCCATTTCTAGAGTCCGAATAGTTAAGTCATTCTGGCTAATTCTGCTTAAGACCTGATATTTCAATGCATTTGGTAAAACAAAAGGTTTGCCGCACTATAACACTACTTCTTAATAAGTTAAATATTAATCGTCTTTATAAATATGTTACTCCGTCGCACTGAGGATAACGCCGCGGTTTTCCTCTTTCCTGAAGTGGTGTGGTTCCAGCAGCGTGTATAACAATGTCTAGCGGTATTAATTAGTCCCCCAGTCGGCACTTCGCCGCTTTTATTTCCCGTCAGAAACCCGGCGAAAGGTGCGCATCGGCGGCTGTACTTACATCCTCCCATTTCATGAATTTGTTTCCTTTTCTCAGGTTTTCCGAAACGGACACGGGTTTGAGCTGCAAGGCGTGAACTCCGGGCTGTGCCCCTGCCATTTACACATTTACACTAAAAAAATAAATGGTAAATAAAATTAAAACAAAACAACAACGAGATCTGGGAGAATTAATGTTGTTTCCTTGTTCTGAAGCCAAACTGGATCTTTTTAATTTTTATATTTTGACAAGCAGCGGCTTTTAGTTTATTACAGAGTCGTCCGGCCGTAACAGCGCTGTTAGAGAATGAAAAAGGCAGCTCTGCGGTTTGCTATTGACGGCTCAGGCAGGGGGACGGAGCAGATAAAGTGACTTGGTCTCCACACTGACTCATTGACTGCATTCAATTCACGGGGTTCTGGCTCTCTGCATATAGCGCCACCTCGTGTTAAAATGCTGTATGCGCGTCGCTGCTCTGTCAAAACTCAAAAGGATGTGCGCTTCTGTTGTAGTTTTCATGACTCTCTCCCACACACAACTTAACCAACTTTATAAATTCGGATTTATGGTTATAGATATTTTGACAATATTTTATTATACTCATAATAAAGACAAATGCGAGATCGCTTGATCAATAACATGGATGGGTATACCGTGCGTTCAAATTATGCGGTCTTGAGCCTTAACCATGGTGACAATTGCCTAATCCCGCTGCAGCCTTTTGGAATTATATATTTAATGGAATATTTTTTTGGTTATTTGGTTACAGAAGAGACAAGACTAAATGTGCAAAGAATTAACCTAATAGGAAATCAAGTTTATTTGGAAGCTGAGGGGGAATCTTTTAAAAGTATAGGGTAAATTTTATATCAAAGACGTTTGACTCTGGCATAAGGACTGTGACGTAACTGATAAGCCTAACAAAATAAATGACTAGTAATATATAGCAATTTGTTAGTATTTTGTTAAAACTTTGGACAAAATGAGGCAGAGATTCAATTTTGTGTGAATTGGTGGACTGTAGAATAATTATGTTTAGGGATTAAGAAAATGTAGCTTTAATTAGTCAATATATTCCAGGCCAAAATAGCCCATGAGTTACCCTGCAGTTACATCTGGCTAACGTTAGCACCATTTGAGTCCAATTAAATACAGTATGACAGATTCTCGTCCAGCACGGTTTCTGATTACAGCATATGGCAAGAGCGATGAGATCAAATTATAGTATTAAATTACAATAAATCACAGAACTTAATGTAATTGCACTGCAAAAGATACAGTCTATGGCTACACATTGGTAGGTGACGCTCTATTTCAAAAGGCAAAGACAGACTTCAGCAAGTGCAGCAGAGACTTAGTGAAGGTGAGTAGAATCTTGGTTGTATTTATACGAGTTTCCTAGTATTTTGTTTAAGGCTGTTGACTTTTTTGTGCAGTTAAAGATTATTTACTAAACTTCGCTCTGTCGGTAGGATCAGTGGTATATTTAGTCGTTCCGTTTTAAATGGGGTATGATCGTGGCTCCGTTCGTACCACATGATAGATACTTTTGAAAAGTTGTTCATCAGGACCCAACGCAGCCAGAAGTTCTCTATATCCTCTGTTACAAGTCAAGGTGACATAGACCTAGTCGATATATCGTCTTCTTTGCTATTCTCCCCCATTCTGTGTGTATGCGTTGAATGGTCATGCTGTATTTGCTTATATTTTAATCATTGTTCAACTTCATTATTTGCATGAAGATCACAGTCCAGATAACCTTCAGATTTGCGGATCACTTGACGTCATACGAATGCCTGTGACATACACCATGCTGAGAGGACCGCATGCTTTTTCAGTCCAAGCCATAGCTATGGAATTGCTCCTCTAGTCGAACATTTCTGACTGGTCTTTACTCAGCTTTCCAATTCTGATTGCCTCCTCTATTATCCATATTTTTTCCTCCAGAGATTTAGTGCGCATCTCAGCCTCTGTTTTCTCTGTATTTGTACGAGCACAAAGGTCTACTGAATGGAGTCTAGGTATCAGCTTTAAGAAAATCAGGCTGAGATGCTGTTTGAACAGGCATGATAGATTGTGTTGTAATTATATATCCTGCCTGTGTTGTTTAATTCTTCATGTAGGCTGTGTTGTAATTATTCGGCCTGCCTTGTTTAATTCTTCAGATAGTCAGCGCCGTAATTCTATGGGCTGCTCGCTTGGTTTAATTCTTCATCTGTGTTATTTAATTTGTCATAATAGCTTCCATCAACTTTTCTTCTCGGTCCCCATTTCTCCCTGTTCACCACAGAATCAGAAATTGCTTTCTAAATCACCACAATGTTGTGATGGATCCACAGGTTTATCTATGGATGGTTTCACTGAGATTGCAAATGTACATATGAGCAACACAGTGAACTTAAAAACCAGATAATCTTACAGAAGGTTAAAGCCTGTTTTCAGCTCCTGAAACCATAAGTTCATTTGAAAACCATCCAACGTTTTGCTATGGAGGCTTATTCCCTTCCGTCTGACAGAAAGAACACGCAGAGAACACATGGAATCAAAGAAAATATTTTACATTGCAGTATTTTGTAGGTATTTGCCAGACAAAATATATAGACAAGCACCGGAAATTATCAGCCATGATCTGCTCCTGCGCGCTGTTCATCGCGAAGAGCGTGATTTAGGGAAGTGTATGACGTCAGCAATGTCTCACTGGCTCCTGAGGAGCTCTTTTCTTTTTTTGCAAAAGTCACGCTCGACCGGTCCTGGTGCTTTTCCACAGGGGCCTTAAAATAGCCCTGAACTCCTACCAGCAAATAAATGAAATGTTTTAAGTGATAGCACTCTTTTTTCTGCCGAAGAGATAGGTCACCCTCCAGTAACCTGGTTGCTAGGTGACTCCTCAGGTCATACCAGTGGCTGACCTTTGGCTAATTAGGGAAGCAAACAAAAGCCACGACCCTGCTGATAGGATGGCGGTCAGAAAGGCTGCTTTCGCCCACCTGTTAATGATTCCAACCCCAGAGAGCCGTTAACTGAATGCTGATAAGGATCTGGAGTTTGTTCAGGGCTTTCTGCATTTAAGATGTGAAATCATGGCACATTCAATGTATTCCTATGGCAAAATTATTGTTTCTAATTGCAGGTTATATCTGATCATTTTTTTTTGCCTTTCTGATTATGCTTCCATTATCCCACACATACTATTCATTGTGGTTTAAAGAACCAGTTTAACCTGGAAATAAAGTCAGTGTTGTTCTTCCCAATGAAAATGTACCTGAATACATTACCTGAACCTCTATACAAGTTTTACAGATGTGTGTGTGTGTTTAAAAAAAGAGACATTGCAGGTGTGTACACAAGAGTGGGTAGCTGGGATATACTTGGTCCTCTAAGTTTAAAAATTAACCCGGGTGAGACTGACCAGGCAAAAAATATCGCACCTGTACTGGGCCAGTTCTTGCTTTGGGCCCAGACAGCACGGCGTTTCACCTGTACAAACATTTCAGGCTGGAAAGTTGAAAATTAAAGCAAAGCAATTAGTCTAATAACATTCAGTAATTCAAGTAAGTATATGAAGCGAACACCAGATGATTGGTGTGTGAATTGCATTCAGCATTTATCCATTTATATTTTAAATATAAACCAAACTGAAAAATTCCTCATCCGATGGACTGTGAATAAATATTTCAGCAGACTCTGCATTTTTTCTACTTGCCTTACATATGCGCTTTTCCAGCACTAATATAAATTGCACTTTGTCCTGCCTTGTGTTTTTCACAGACTGGGTCTGATTACTTCTCCTTATTTACTCTACATTCCTGATTTCCATATCCATGTTTCCATATTACCCTCTGCTTCTTATTTGTCTGGCTTTTGTCCTCTACAGAGTGCGAGCAGTGAAGATACTCTGAACAAAATATATGGGGTAGGTGGCGCTGCGGACGGCAGCCTCAGGACTGCACTCTGTTTTATTCACCGTGGGAGCTTCCCTCCGTCATCCTGGTCGGTGTTTATATCCCACCTCAGGCCAGTGCGAGTGATGCATTGCAAACCCTGGCCAACCAGATAACCGACTTGTAACAAAAACATATGGACTCACTTTTCACGATGGGGATGTTAACAGAGCAAAATTAAACCACGAACTACCAAAATGTCAACAGCATATCAATTGTCCCGCCAGGGATGACATACTGGAAACTGCTACACAATTCTTACAGATTCGTGTCCCTCTGTTCCCCCGGCAGCTGTGGGGTTCTGACTGCTGCTCGGTTCATCTTATCCCAACCTACAGGCAGAAACTAAAATCTGTAGTAAAAACAGTGAAGACATAGACCAGAGAGGCAAATCAGGAACAGCAAGACTGTTTTGACTGCACCAATTGGAGTGTTTTTGAAGCTACATCTAGGAACCCGGCTGACCTCACTGACACTGCGATGTCTTACATCAGCTTTGGTGAAGATATGCGTTCACCAACCAAGACCTTCTGCATATACTACAATAAAAAGCCATGGTTCACAGCCAAAGTAAGACAACTTCATCATACTAGGGTGGGTACTTACAGAATAGGGATAGAGCCCTGTACAAGCAAGCCGGAAATTCAGTGACAAAGGAGATCAGAGTGGTTAAAAGAAGCTACACTAAAAAGGTAAAAAAAACAGGTTTTCGGCCAACAACCCTGTGGAGACGTCTGCAAGCAGCACAAGAATCGCAAACAAATACCTGGCTGACGGTCTGAAAGGGACAAATTTATACCCCTCACCGACACCAGCCCAACATCAGCAGCCCTCATCACACCTCAGGACCCCCCCCCCACTGCCACTCCCACCCACATCCCCTGATACTCAAGCTGCACTCACAATATGCGAAGAGGATGTGAGATGGATCTCCCGGAGACCAGGAAAGCCCCTGGTCCAAATGCTGTCTCCCCCCTCCTTAGCCTGTGCTGACCAACTGGCTCCAGTCTTCAAACAGATCTTCAGCAGATCCCTGGAGCTGCATGAAGTCCCCTCCTGCTTCCAATGTCCTACCCTGATTCCGGTCCCCAAGAAACCCTCTATCACAGGTATGAATGACATGACTACTGGCCTGTCACTCTCACGCCTGTGGTCATGAAATCCTTTGAATGACTGATGTTAGTTATTATATGATGTATTTCTGTGTGTTTCCTTGTTTTGTTCCCTGGTTGTAATATGTTCAATTTTCCTTGTTCCCTTGATGTTTGGAACTTTCTGTATCTATTGATTGACCCCACTGGCCCCTCGTTGCCCCTAGTCTCTTGTTTGTAACACCCCACACATCCCCTTGGTTAGGCCTCATTATCCATGTATATATGTGTCTGTCCTTGCCCTGATTCCTCTAGCAGCCATTGTGGTTGTTGCCGTGTGATGTTGCCATTGTTGCCGTTAATGTACTATGATTG